GGGTTAGGGGGGGTAGGAACCATCGTTTTTACAAACGGAGCACCATAGATACCCCAAACAAACTGGTGTATAAGTAACAGGTGTCATTTTAGATGCAAATTGTCGCATGATAGTCTTTAGCCTTAGTATTTTAAACTTAATCTATATTATTAAAAATCTTCAAGCTTTAACGTTAATTAGAAACATTATGTCCAAATACACCAGGTTGTTTGGACACAAGATAAATTAGACTTGAGAATGACTCGGGGCATCTATGGAGTTCCGTTAGTAAAATTGATGATTTCAACTCCTTATCTTCCTGCACCCCAGCAACCTTCTCCTATATCGCCGATTTGGGCTGCCCAAATCAACAATCTTGAAGGGGGTGGGGTTGAGGTGGGGTACAAGGGGCTAAGGGTTTTTAGAGGATTAGGAAAGATAGGAACCACTAATTTTACTAACGTAACATCATAGTTGCCCAAAATGTCCGGATCATTCTCTAGTGATTTTTGGCTTGGTCAAAAGAACCTTTGCCCACCGCATTCTTCACAAAGTGATCGTTATGTTCAATCAAGCATAGGTGACACTAACAAATTAGGAAACACAGGCAAACGCAAACAGGGGGCCAATGGAACCTAAACTAGTTTAACCAACACTCCCAAAATACCAACACTACTCAAATCCTTGGAATTGTCATCACACCACGGCTCACGCATCCCTAATTAACATGAACCCATCAGGAAGGGTGGTAGTGTGAACATAAATCAAATAACTTGCCATAAAACCTTAATAAACCAGCTTGATGATGAGACTATTGATTGGAGGTTAAACAAGTGCAATGCTACTCTCACCGCCTGGCGGTTTGCGGACCCCAGCAAAGTAATCGCGGGATTGAACCTTCCCGTCGGCAAATATGTCATTGCCACTCATCTCCTTCAGCTTTGCTCTGCTAAGATGCTTCTCGGCAGACCCCGGGGGAACATCTCCCTTGAAGATGTCGTTCCCTGTCAGCTCTGCAAACTTCTGGTTATGAATCTTCTTTGTTGCTTCCACCACCGGTTCGTCCCCAAACATGATATTGCTTTGGCCCCCAGCAGGCTGTCAAAAGAGCTCAAAAGTTAGTAACCTGCCTTGAAGGTGGTATGCCTTCTCTCATGGTCCGTTTGGGACCCAGAAATTAATAATATGAGAAAAAGTAAAAGAAAAAGTAATAATTGGTTTTGGAAAAAAGTACGATAATTATGGGATATCATTAAAATTTTATATGAAAAATATAGATTTATACTTAAAAAACTAGTAAGAAGAGAAATATAATTATAATCTTATTTTCATTACATTAAATTTCATATTAAAGTATATGATTTTAAAAAATTCTTATACTAGCAAGTCGGTAAGGTTGAGTTCGGTCGTGTTTGACCCCTTTTTAGCGGGTCATTTCGGGTTTTGTCAAGAAAACCTTTGTTCCAAACCAGTATTTTCGGGTCGGCTCTCGGGTCAAAAATAGATCGGGTCATTTGTTGTCAGGCCTAGTCAAAGCCAAAAAACATAAACCACTCACATTTGAAACTTTGACCGAAGTGCGGACATTACGCGGGGTGGGCTCTCCCATGAATTTGCTTTCTTTTGATTCAATGGAGCGGGCAGCGGTCAACGACAGTGGAGGTGCTTCGGAAGGTGGAGCGAAGATGTCATGCCCACTAAGCTCCTTGCACTTTGCATCAGACAGATGCTTTGTGGCTTTCAAATCTGATTCACTCTCAAGCGTTCCACTCAATTCACGTTGTTTTGCCACCTCGGGTATAGTAGTTGGCTTTTTCGGCGAAATTCTTTCTTCAGTGCTGAATGAAATCTGGCTGATTCCATTTGCAGTTTGCTGTAATATAAAGAAATGGGATACACAGCATGACAATTTGGCAAGTTGAGATCCACCAAGCTAAGCTATAACCATATAAAGGGGATACCTGAACAATACGGACAGAAGTTCTGTTGTTTACATTTCCATTAACAGCTCCAGAATCCATGTCGCCATTCTCGCTGTCAGCAAGAAAAATGTTGCTGCCATTCATCTCCTTCAGTTTATACCCGGAACAAGGTTTCCTGAAGATTACCATAATAATACAAAGCCCCGGTTGGTAAATGACTGTAATAGAAACTTAATCGCATGCCAATTATTGAACTGTCTTGCAAGGGATGACTGTAATAGAAACCAGCACTTGTGTTGAAGACATTGCAGAAAAAAGGTTACTGGGTATGAAATATCTATAGTTCTGGCATTCTCTTAAGAGTATTTTTCCCATGCACCTAAAAATGCATGAACCTTCTCACATGAATAAGACAATAAAAAACAAATTAACTAAATGTTTATCACTTCACTATGTAGATGCTTCTACTGCTATAAGAGAAAGTCCATAATTTTTTAGGTGTACCTAATGTACACTTCAAAATTTTCCTTCTCTAATGGAAATATAATGACCAGTGGTCTCTATCTGAAGTTGAGATATATGGAGAGTAGAAATTAAGAACCACAAAAAAAAAAACAGATCTACTATTTATTCAAATTTTCACATGCATATGAAGGTAACACCATAATAGTCTATGTCAAGGAACTAACTCAATCAAAAGTTCGAACTCATGACTTGTAAGTCATCGAGGCTTCGATACCAATTCAACCAAAGGTTCAAACAAAAGTAAATCTTGCTCCACGTGAGGGTGCGTGTTAAAGTATAAATCTATCATGGGCCCGCCTACTGTTTGGTTGAATTAGTTCCTTCAATTGACAAAGGTGTTACTAAATAGATGTATACCCAAAAAAAGTGAATAGAAATGAATCGATTCGTTCTATAGAATCCATTATTCGGAATATATATTTGTCAAGCGCGGAAACAATTTTACCGTTTGTTTAGGCTCTGAGCTTCTTCATCAGTGATCTGGCCTCCAAATAGCACCTTACTGACTCCATCAGAAGGCTGTGAAGATAATCGAAACACAGAGCTCTAGTCAGCAGGAAGAGGAAAACAAGGGATTAATCAGATGCGAAATGGAGGAAACGAGTACCTGGTGAGAAGTGCGGGCGGAGGAGCGGGAGGCGGTGCCGGAAGAGGAGTCGGCGGCCGGGAGCTCGGACCAGGTGAGCAGATCGGCGGTGGAAGTGTGCGGCTTCCGAACAGGAGTGGCTGCCATATTGCCTGATTTGAGCTGGGATCGGATCAGATTCTGAAATCAGTCGTTCGTCTCTTCCTTTCTTCTCTCTGCGGTCTTGTTTCAAAAATTTGAACGCCACTTTCCTCTCTCTTTCCGCACTAAAGTAATATTTCTCTCTTTGGGTTTATCTAAAGGAGAGGAAATTTGAAAACACACTTTAGTGGTCACAGGCGGAGGCTTACCCCTGAAGTTGTCGCATTTAATATTTTTCAAACAAAAAGAACTCATTACTGTATCAGATTCCTAAATTTTCAACAAATTCGATGTAACATTCCTAAATTTAAAAAATTTATGATTTCTATTCCTTCTAAATCCCCGTTAAACCCTTATCACGGTCAACTAAATTTTGTGGGATGCAATTGGAGGGGGTAGGGAAGAATCGGTTCGGGTCGGGGCCGGAGTAGGGGTTTACTGGAGGGCTAAAGAGGGTAGAAAATAATTAATTTTTCAAACAGAGGACCGCATGTGCTCCAATCGAGGTCCATGTCATAGGATGATATGAAGACTAATGTCACCCAAACCTTCTCCAATTTAAAAAAACAAAAATCTCTAAAATGAATTGAAAATATAGAAAGACATTCCAAAAAAAATGTACCCAAAAAAAAGAGATTGAATCGAACCTAAACTAAAGAACTGATTCAGAATTTTGAACTGAACACGTATACTAGTATAGTATGAAGATGTTAATTTTAACTATATTTCTTCATTAAGTAATAAGATTATTTTTAAAATTCCATTCAACTTCTTGTGTGTAATTTGGAATAGACGTGAGCATGGTACGGTATGGTAATTAAGATATTTAGATCCTACCGATATCGTACAAAATATTCTAGTGCGGTATGAGATTTTACGTTGTACTGATTTCGATCTCAAAATATCAATTTGGTATGGTTTGAGATAGTTCGCTATCGATTTTGGTAAAAATTGGTATTAATACATATATACGTAATTTATACTTTAAAGTGTAAAAAAATTCTTTTTTATTGAAAAATTAAATTATATTTAAATAAAAAACATTAAAAACTAAAAACTAAATTTAATGTAAGAACTACTTACAAAACTTTATATTTCACAAACTAAAATGAATGAATAGTACTCTCTCCGTCCTATAATGATCTTCCCATAGCACTATTCCAACTTCACGGGAATTTATGTTTATTTGTGTTTTTTCATGACCTATATGATAAAATAAAATATTCTTGTCACCACTTGTTTTGTTGAACTTTTGGTGTATTTTTTAAATATGTATGTTTTATTTTTTATTTCTATATCAATATTTAAATAAAATAGATTGAAAAAACTTGGGATTTTTCTTCGTTTTGCGAACCGGGAAAATTATTATAGGACGGAGGAAGTAACAAAATATTATAAGACCTCAAGTGCTACTAAGTCTTTTAAAACCAATGGTGCTGGAAAAAGTGCATATCCTAACCTTATAGGACATTAACAGACACAAGCGCTCACATCATTCAATTGTGAGTTGGCCCACATAGCATCCTCCATGGGATAATTGATACACACATGACAGACAATCTCTTCCTTAGCAATTGCTCCCGGTAGGAATCGAACTCGTGATCTTGGCTACGATACCATCGAGAAGAGATAGATCTCAGAAGACTTGACACGATCAAAGTGGTCAAGGGGGTACCTTTGCTTGATTGATCTCGCTGCATATAAGGTACATAATCGGTTGCAATAGCCTCATTTGTTCCATGTAGCTAACCTCACGTAGTGGGATAAGACTTTGTTGTTATATGGTTGTTCAGTATTCCCTCTGTCTCAATTTAAATTTTCAATTTTGTGTTTGACTAAAATTATTTTTAATGTAATTTATTAAAGAATTGAGGCGAAACTAAAAGATAACCTTACGTATTTAAAAATTGCATCAAAAATTCTATGAAACAAAAGCTTACATGACTATATTATTTTATCAAATGAATAACAAAAATAAGGAAAGAAAATGAATAAAATTTGAACATATAAATAGTAAATAGACAACCTAATTTGGAACTAAGTAGTAAAGTGTGTCGTTATAGGTAAGTTTTTCATTGGAGACAATGCATTGTTTTAGAGAGTTAAATTATTACTCTCTCCGTCCCAAAAAATCTTTCCTATTTACTATTACAGTCTCTCGATAACTTTTACGGAGTATTTGTTTGCATATTTTCATTGATTATTTGATAAAATAAAATATTCTTATAACCTCTTATTTTGTAGAGTTTTCAATGTAGTTGTTAAATATAATTCTTTTATGTTATTTCTTTACCAATTTACAAATAAAATCATCTTAAAAACTATGCGTTTTAGCACATTAATCAAAGTAAGAAATTCATTTTGAAACAAAAGAAGTAAAATTCAATGGTAACATAAAAAGGATTCGATAATTAATTCGAACGTCTTGTTTTGCATACAAATTGAAAATCGTTTTTTAAATAAAAACTAACCAAATATAAATTCAATTATTTTAATATTTAATTCGATTCGCCTGCAGCCCCAATTGCAATGACTGTTTGCTTTGGAGTGCGCACTTCAATTCGTATTAAAGAATGACGGGCAAAAAAAACTTCATATGCTTGACTTTTACATAATTCTAAATGTATTAATAACATTTATTTAGGGAAAAAAAAATCTTCAAGAGCAACATATTCATTACTAAAAAAATACATTATTTTGAGACGGGAGTACTAGACAACCCAATCATCAATTGTGTTCGCATCCAACTGTCCCAAATTTCTCTCATAATTTTATTAACGGCGGCTCATAAAAAGCACCGAAATCCCTTTACAACGAAAAAATGACAAACATTTTGGACCATAAGTTAATATGGCAACTGTACATAATTTTTACTATGTTACAATAAATAAAACCAAACACCTTTTCTATATCCCCTAACAACGTTTGTCCTGTGTAGATTGTGAACTTATTCCCATGCTCATGTTTATTGTAGACATTTGCCACATACTCACCTATACATATACACTCCCTCCATTCACATATAACTGTCCATTTTGCGGTTTTGATTACTTTAACAATGAGTGAACGCTAAGAGTGAACAGAGGAGTATATATGTGAGGGACACACAACTCACTGCTCGATAGAACGGAGTTCCCACTTGCCCTCTCCATCAATCAATCGCAACTCTGAAGAATGGAAGGGTATCAAAGCGGGGCGCTGAACAAGGGAAAGAAAATTCATCTCAGCTACACATTGGTAATAAACAAGAAACGTGAGATGGTAAATTTAATTGGAGTAAGAATTTAGGTTTTACCTGTGAAGATGTAACAACTGTGATGCCACTGTCCTTTGCAAGTCTATAAAGGTGCTCCTCTACATCTACGCTTGTGGCACTGCCATATGAGAAACAAGAAAGAAAGAGAAAGCATGCCATTAGTCACTAGATTGCCCAACGTTATATGCCGGCTTGTTAAGGATTATTTGACTGAAATTATTGAATGTACTGATTTTTTTCTAAAGGCTAAACTTCACTATTGGTCCTTCAACTTTATGAGTTGTGCACGATTGGTCCTGCAACTTTATGAGCTCTGCACGATTGGTCCTTCAAGTCTCAAAAGTCCATAAATAGTCCTTCAACTATTTGAAATATGCATGATTGGTCTTTCAAGTTTCAAAAGTCCATAAGTAGTCCTTCAAGTACACGTCAGCCTTCCAGATGATGTCCTTTTGACGGTAAACGTTAAAAACTAAATGGAGTACTAGCTCCATATAATACAGAGCAGTCGTACCTATTGGAATTTACTCGTATTATATGGAACTAGTATTTCATTTAGCTTTTAATGTTTACTGTCAAAAGGACCTCATTTAGAGGGCTAAGGTGTACTTCCAGGACTACTTATGGATTTTTGAAACTTGAAAGACCAATCATGCACCACTCATAAAGTTGAAGGACTATTCATGAACTTTTGAAACTTGAAGAACCAATCGTGCACCCATCATAAAGTTGAAGGCCTAATGGTGGATTTTAGCCTTTTCTAAATGAGAAACTGTTCGATAACATCTATTGTAGCCAAATAAGTAAGACAACAGCTACTTATTCGGAGCAAAACAAGCAGCATAAGTCAGATAAGGCTAGCCAAATGCAGCCTATGTATCTGGACTTGATTGTCATCTTTTCGTAAATTTAGTCTCTCAACTGTTATAATTGAGATGCTTTTACACTTTTAGTCCCTTGATTTTCAGCAAATGAATAAGATAAAAGTTGTTTGCTTACTTGGTGCATTCATCGAGTATTCCAAATTGTGGCTTGTGAAAGAATAAGCGTGCCTTGAATGAGTACCAAAGAAAACTCATCAACTTATAATGAACACAAATAATCTGCAAAATATTTTTATGTGAGTCCGTATCTACTCATTAACAGCTTTATGGCTCACCATTCCCAATCGCTGTTGTTCTCCAAGGGATAAAATGTCTTCCCAGTTCGGAACTGTATCCCAGCCCCCTTCCCTTTCCAAAAGATAGATTAACTTCACACTCTCTAGAATAGTCTTCAAATGAGAATCAAGAATGTCATGGGATCCGGTGGACAATTCTTTATCTGACATTGATAAAACAAGTAACAAGTTCATTTTTATCAATACATCGCTAGATAAAATCAGGTCCAAATACAACGGGAATAATCATAGTGTATGTCTTCATATGCAGAATTTGGGAAGTTAAAATGTAGTGCAGGATCACTGTTTTTATCAATTAAACTGTTTTGGCGTACATTGTCAATAGAGCTTGATGGATTCACGAGTTTCCCGATTGGACTGTTCTTAAGTCCAATTGGCAAGCGAACAAACCCGGATTATTTTGTAATTTAGGAGTGAAAAAAAAGAACAGTCAAAAAACAAGGAGGTGCTAGGAATCTGCTTGAGACAGACCTAGTCTTTCTTGCCAATACCGTTCTGCTCTTGGAAAAGAAATTAACTCAAAAATTTAAGATTGTTGGAGCATTCTTTATTGCTCTCTTATGCTCTTTTCTCCGCTAGTTACAAAGTTCCTACTCCTTCAAACTCGGATGAATTTGTAATTTGGGAGTGAAAGAAAAGAACAGTAAAAGGAGGTGCTAGGAGTCTGCTCAATACAGGCCTAATCTTTCTTGTCAATAACGTTCCACTCTTGGGAAAGGAATTATTCAAAAGATTAATTGCAGGAATATTCGTATTGCTCTCTTATGCTCTTTTCTCCCTACTTACAAGGTGCCTACGCATGGGCTAAGCTTTCTCTATTCATCTAGGAGCCTCTGACTACAACGCAGATATGGGAGGATCCTTTTGTATCAATCCCCTGTCATTCTAAGATCAGGTAAAGGAGGAAGACGAATATTTCTCCGTCCAATCTTTCTTGAACTCGCTCGGAAGAATATTTGTCACTGGGGGGGGTTGTCACCATCCTCGTCAGCGTCCATCAGCCCGTTTCTTCAGCACAATTCTTAATTGATTTACCAGGCTTACTGAGTCTATGCTAATTCTATTACTGGGTCCAATATTTGGACAGGGGATAATGACAGGGTCGGGCCTAAATTTATTTTATAATGATGGGCCATGTTCCCATTAGAGCTAAAACAGTAATTTTTACACTATTTTAGCTTCTGGTAAATAATGGACTAAGGGTCCATCTGTTTAAGATTCTCATGATCAGATTCTCTCAAGCCTGTCAATTCTGATTCCAAAGTCAGTACTGTTGTATTTGCTTTAGATTCTGAAAAAAAATTGATCTGCTTCGGCATTGGAGAATCTTATTCTTAAGAGCTAATCGGGTACTTCTCTAGAGAATCAAGTAATCAACAGAATCTATTCAACTGACCTTAGTGAATCTGATTCTTAAATGTCTAACCAAATACACAACCAATCTCATTGGCTCATTCTATATTCTGCAAATCAAGACCACTTCATTTAAAACACTTTATTCTAAAACTCAGAATCAGCTTTGTCTAAGAATCCAACCCAAAGCACGCTAAATAAATAAACTTTTCTTGATTCTTACTTTCTATGAAGTTTTGGGGAGTAAATGCATCAACACATCAAGGGTCTAACGGAAACCTCTATAATTTAAACTGGGTTTGTTGTTTCTCTTAAAAAAGGTGATTAATTCAGATTTTGAGCAGCGCCTTAATCAGTCAAATGTACACATTGAGACCGCCGCATACAGAAAGGAGAGATAACGTAAGACATACCTTCTGTCGTCAACAAGGCTAATGCTCTTCTCTTTGCTTCTTCGACTGACAGAGGATATATAATCTGATCCCTTAGGGTTCCCAAACATGTGTATGGTCGCTGAGGGACATAAAAAACACCACAACCAAATCCTGACTTAAGTTGTGGGCCTGGTCTAACAAGGCTTCCACTAACCACCGGCCATAAACCACGAAGGACTCTGAAGATGGAGCTCTTTCCACTCCCATTAGGGCCTTTAATTGATTAATAAAAATTAAATGAGGTGCAGAAAAAAGTTTTATGAGGTACAGACAAATATTCTATGTATAAAAAAAGAATTAATTATAACACCACTAACCAGTCACGAGAAGGCTTTTCCCAGGTATTACATCACATACTAATTTCCTTGCTAAGAGTTTTTGTGATGGTGTAATGATATCCATTTCCGAGAAAGAAATAATGTTCTCAGAAGACGAAGACAGAGGAACATAAGTGGCTTCATCTGCACAATTATTAATCTTGTAAGGGCCTTTTGATTGTTCTCTATTGAACATTATGATATTAGATGACGTTTATTAAAAGGATATTAGGATGCTTTCTGGTGGCCAATAACTACTAAAAAAAATATAAGTTCAGCCAACCAATTAAAAGGCATTTCAAATTATTGAATTGCAATACAACCAGGCTTTCCACCACTACCATCTGCCACACAAAAAGAAAAAGACACTAACTCTATAAAATAAGTGTTGTAATTTTAGTGAAACAGTCTTACAGTGTACAGCTTGTTCTGATGGAGTTTGAAAGTGAGGGTTCAGTTTTCACCTTCTGCTTTTAGACACTCTATTTATCAAGACATAGATTAAACCATCCAAAACCTTCCTATCAAAATCCCTAAAAACCCCTCCACCAAAACAGCCCCGTAAGGATTGGGATAAAAGGGAAATCATTTTTACTTATTCCTCCCATCCAAACATGATCTGAGAGCCCACCTCTTCATTTTTCCATCATCACAATTAACTGAGCAATCCTTGAGTGAACAATTTGATTCATCGCATTTAACTCTATATATAAACCTTTTTTCTGTTTTTTTAATGTTTTCATTTAATTTTACTTTTTTAGCCTTTTATTAAAATCATTGTGCATCTCTGACATCAATCGCCTTTAACTCTATACAAGTGAACAATTTGATCCATCGACTTTAACTCTATTTAAACATTTTTTCTGTTTCTTTTTCATGTTAAAATTTAATTTTACTTTTTTAAGCCTTTTATTACAATCACTATGCATCTCTCACATCAATCTCCTATTTTCTATTTCACTTCAATCCATTTGCACTTTTTAATTAGCTTATCAAGTGGCATAAATGAAAATTATGAAGCTCGTGATATGGATGGAGATGAAGTTGAAAATTTAGATAATTATGTAATAGATGATGTTATTACTTTTGAAAAGTAGTCATTAGAAGCCTAAATCTTAAGCTTGGTTCCTAGATTTTATTATATGGTTCTCATGTTGTTGTTGTATCCTACGATGCCCAGTTTAATTTGTGTGATGTTATTTACACAATTACACTCTCCTGTCTTTAAGTAAATTTAACATTTAATTTCATATCCTTATCTGTGATTGTTCTAACCTTCTTCTGTTTGTTCTCTTCCACAAAGATCTTTTGTCAACAACTTCCCTTGAGCCAAGGGTCTTTCGACAACCTCCCTACCTGTGATATGTAGGGATAAGGTCTACGTACACCTACGCTCCTCAAAAACCCACTTGTGGGTTTCTTCTGGTTTGTTGCAGGCATGCATATTTTATATTGTTATTAACTTATCATATATCCTCAAAAACCCACATGTGTGTCTTTATTTCAAGATCTCAAAATGTCAAAATTTTATGTCATTGAACCAACACTATGAATTATCCGGTCTACATTATTTATTTATACTCCCTCTGTCCCATATCTTTCTACCCACTTTCCTTTTTAGGACGTCCCATTTGTTTCTTCACATTTCCTAAAATTGAAATAAAACTCCTACAATGACACTTTTACCCCTTTTATTTCCAATCATTTACTCTCTTCTTTGAAGCATAATTAGTACGCCCACCCTCACTGCTTCACTCTTCACGACCATTCAAGTGGCGATGAAGGAAGGCGGGTAAGAGGCAGCAGGGACGAAGCTTCTAGATCTGGCGTCTGTCTATCCTTCTTTCTCCGACAAAGGTTTTAGATCCGGATAACAGCAAAGGGGAAAAAGCGGATTGACGGTGCGAGGCTTTCATATCCAGTCACTGTCGATGTAGCACTGGTTAAAGAGAAACGATTACTATTCATTCGCTAGTAGCTAATTTTTCTGCAGTTTTTTGGCTCCTTTCTACACCTCAATTTTGATTTTTTTCGCAAAGACATATTTATTTCAGTTCTAAATTCTATCATTATTGTGTTAGATTCCTCATTCTTTTTTTTCATCAACAAATATTTTCATTTTTGGATTACTTCAACAAAGAGTCAATTTTGCTTTTTATTTCAAGTTTCCTTCGGTAGAAATACTAGAAGAGAGCAGTGATGAGTTTGAGATGAAGAAGAGGGCAGAGGCAGTTATCTGAAGAAGAAAAAGAAAGGGTTAAGGTTGAAGAAGAAGAAGGGCTTTACGGAGGCCAGACGAAAGACGAAAGAAAAAAAGGAGAATAGATAAATGAAAAGGCATATCAGGAAAGTCAACACATATTCATTGCACCTTAAAAACCATGCCAAGTCCAAACAAGAAGTTTCAACTTGGACAGAGGGAGTACTATTTATAATAGTTAGTGGTTTACGCCTCATGAGACAGAGAATAAGTCTATCCACATGGGTTTGTTGCTTAGGGGTATGTGTACGTTTGTGGCCTTCATAAATCTCCAAATGATTCAAAACATAGTTCTCATGTTTGGTTTGGGAAGTTTGGTCAAGCCAATAAGAACATTGGTAATGATAACAGGATTTATATACTTTCGAAATATTGTACGGAGTAAAACAATTGATATCATGTTGGAGTAATGGAGTCTATGTGGATAATATTGTCGTCAATGGAAGTGATCTTGCAGGAATTTTACATCTTAAGGCAATCCTACATGGTCACACTAACAAGCAGTTTACTACTTTCTCAAAGGAAATTTGTATTTGAGTTATTTACTGGAACTGAAAAAATTAGAGACTAAGGGTCTGTTCCGTTCAACTTATTTTTTCAGCTTATTACATATTCTTATTAAACCGATGGGCTACATCATATCTAATCAGATCAAATCCAATCAGCTCATATTCAAACAGAACAAATGTACTTAGATCATATCCAATCAAATTAGACTAAATCTAATAAAAAATAAGATATTTTTTAGATTAAATTACATAAATACAAAATAGTATTGAAAAATAATGCTAATACTATTTCTATTATTACATAATAATTTTTATACGACTAATTTATGATACATTATTTAATGTTGCATATAATTTTCTAATATGTACTATTTTCGTCCCAAATTCATTTACATTGTTTGAACAATGTTTAAAACTCCATCTTTTTAAAAATGATTTTATCTATAAATTTGTATAAAAAGTAAAAACTGCAAATTGCATAATTTAAAACTACATCAAACGTTCTACAAAACAATTAAATAAGAATATTTTATTTTATCAAATGATTGATGAAAACATACGAGTAAACAAAAGTTATCGAAGGACTCAAATAGCACAATAACAACAACCCAGTTGGATCCCACGAAAGTAGGGTTGGAGAGGGTGTTTGTACGCAGACCTTGCCCCTACCCGAAAGACTCAAATAGTAAAAGTGTAAATCATTTTGGGACGGAGGGAATCTTATAATGTTATATAAAATTAAATAATAAAAATGTTAAGCAAGAGTAAGTAATACTTATTATCATTATAATTATTATTAAAGTAATTATAATACCCTATTCGATACTAAATTATAGTCTTCTTTTTGAAAAACATAGAAAACTGCATCTATTTTTAATTAAAATCTTTTACAAAACGAGTAATGACGACATGACTTTCTATTTAATCAAAATTATCCAAATATACTCCGTACATAATGATATTTGAAAGGTGGAAAGAGCAATAATTTTAATAATAATATTCTCTATGCCCTACAAACAATTAATTATTTTGTTTTCAAGAAAATTATTAAAGTGTGAAAATGATAAGAATATAAAAAAGTGGTAAAAATATTTTTTAAGTGTGAGCAAAATATTTTGGATTATTTATATTCATAAAAAAGAGAAAGATTAAGAAAGAACTTTTTGGGACATTTACAAATAGGGTAGATTCTTATGTGGTCCTTGGATCCATACTCATTTGATTGATCTTAGTATATAGTAGTAGTGATGATGATGATGATGATGATGATGATGATACTAGTAATAATAATAGTAGTAGTAGTAATAATAATAATAATAATAATAATAATAATAAAGTTATTATTAAAAATTTAACTTTTAATTGGATCACATAAGATCCATCAAATCAAATCAGATCCAATCATATCAAATCTAATCAGAGATCAGATCCAATAAAAAAAATATAAAGTTCCCAAAGTGTGTATTGGGTAGATGTGATGACAGTACCACCTCCGGGCCAGAGGTGGGATATATATACGCATAACAACGAGCATGAGAAGGGTCAAACCAAGTACAGGGGTTGGGCCAAGCCCAGAATGGGTGGCCCAACAGGGATGTAAACAATTCAAGCTAGAATCTAGTTCGGGAGATGGGCTACGTTGGCTGGGCCTACGCCTAACCAAATATGGGGATTGGGCCAAGCCCAATAAGGCTGACATAGTCACAAAGCCAAGCCCAACATCTTGGATAAAGCCTAGTCCTTAAGCCATGGATCAAGCCCAATGGTGAGAGGCACAGGTTCAGGTCCATTGGTATTGGTGTATTCATCATCATTAAGATTGAATATCATTTTGTTGGGAAAAAGGATGCAGTTCAAAAAGACAAAAAGTCAATATATATACTGTCGTTTTTATACTGATGAATATATATCCTCTAACTAGAAGGAGAGTACTAATTATTATAACTTTAACACTAATCCTAGCCCTAATGATACCTTAAGCAAGAGTTAAAATGTACTCAAGGATATCACTTTTTCAATAAAACAAATTACATTAATTACAATTACGTTTCACAGTACTTTCAATGATAGTATTTAACTATCACGCTACATATATCATTCTATTGCTCAAACATATTATGTTAGCACCATTCTACACATGAAGCATGAGGAAAGCTACTGCTACCACAAAGAGCAAAAATATTTGTTGGAGCTAGTGAAATACTAATAATATAAAAAAGTGCTTGAGGTAAAGATGGTTGAAACAAAGATAATTTCATCACCTCTAAGATGGAGCTAAACAAATTGGATCGAAATTGAACAATAAAGCTCTACAAGTTAAGAAACTTACCATTTTGAGCAGCATCTAGAAGCTCTTCCAGCTCAAAAATTCGGTTGATACCACCAGAAAGTTCAACAAACTTTCTATGCAGTTCAAGTATGTCACCAAAAGCTAAAAAACTTTGAGATACAACCGAAGCTAGGAACCTTAGTGCATGTGCCAACTCACCTAACAGAATACATCAGAGTAGAAACTACAAATTACAAAATAGATTATAGTTAAAAAAAATTGAAAATTAAAACAGAAACAGAGAAAATATTCACCTTGAGTTGAAGTCAAAGCGCGGTCACCCTTATGCTCAACAGCATACAAAAGACTCAATCCCCATGTAACATTGTGAGGAAGTTGCTTTGTGATAAACTCGTCTATTATGCCAAAAAGCCATTTCTTTTTTAAAAGCAGCGCAGAGTGATGAAGAAGTTCCTTAAACCTTGATTCGACCATCTGCAAAGTTCATAACTTGTTGAGATATGGGATACTAGAATTTTCACATAAAAGAAACAGCAGAATCCAGGAATGCCATGTACATTCTAAAAAATGAACTCAAGCATGTTCTCTACAGTTCTATGCAGGCATGGTACTCACAGAAAAATAAATAAACCCGACATACAACTATAGTATTCATGATCAGTTCTGCAATGAGATTATTTATGGCAGGAAAGTGGCATTTTCTAGTTAGTTCATCATTTTAGACAATTTGTGGCTTCCAAAATGCTGTCCTTGAGCAGTAGGCAAGGTGTTTACTAATGGAAAGGTTTCTAGTTTTAAAGAAAACTGGAAAAGTTTTTAAATGAAAAACAAATTGTTTATGTATCCACTTCTCCAAATATAAGAAAGTTGAAAAGCACTAGCTGCACTACAACTTTTATCTTCTTCCAAATTTAGTACTCCCTTCGTTCCAAGTTAAAGTTCCCACTTTGACTTTCACAGAGTTTAAGAAAATATGAAATTGTTTTGCTGAGATTGATGAAGAAGAGAGAATTAATATGGACCATCCATTTCATTCTATAAAAGGAATGAGAACTTTATTTTGGGACAACCAAAAAAAGGAAAATGAGAAGTTTATTTTGGGACGGAGGGAGTAATAAAACATTCCCTCCATCTCAAAAGAAACTTCACACTTTCCTTTTTTTGGTGGTCGTAGAATAAGCTTCGCACTTCTCTTTTATCTTCTTAAAGAATGGAAAACATGGCTCACAAATCACAATATCCCTCCCTCTAAACAAATTCTAATCATACACTTTTTACTATTCAACACATTTCTTAAACTCCATGAAGTCAAATAACAAAAGAACAATAAGGGGAAAACAAATTACACACAAGAGAAAGGATGAGTGAACATAACACACAAAAATGCAACCTCCCACCAAGGAACACTACCTAACTCTCCTAAATCCTGAGTCAAGTTAAATTACCCTACAACTGCAGTATCTTGTGACTCCCCTATCATGGGGCATGCCTATGGTGGTCATCATAAATGTGTCATGTCTAAAATGAAAATGTGGAAAAAAACAGTGGCACCTCGCTACTGGTCACTGGTGGTTGCTGATCTCCTGGTAACTGTGACCACCTTTAGCAACCTCTGGTAGCCGTCAGCAAACCACTGTATATAAGACAACTACTACCTACACCGACAAGGGAGGCTAATGTGGAGCGCCTCCACCACTAATGAAACACGTGCCACCATGGGAAATTGCAAAAAAATGAAGTTGAAAATTAAGTTTGAAATAAATGGAAAATCAGGTTTTTCAAACAAGAAAAAAAACAGAGAAATGACCACAGACCCCAAGAGGGTTGGGAGTCTACTGGGTTGTTGTTGTTGTGTCTTCAAAGAAAGGGAAAACCTATACCAAGAAACACTCATTGAAGGTCATCTCCTAATCTTTTTTAAAGAGAGAGATGGAAATTAAAGGATTCATCATCAACCATTTTTAGTACTTGACAAAGATTAACATTGGCTATAAGTCGCAGCTAGAAAAACTTTCACATCTTGTGAAGCTCAGTGATGTGACTGATGTCGCCTCCTCAGTCTCACCTCCTTTTCTCGAGCACCACCTCCAAAGAAAGCAACGGATTCAGCATGTGTCCGTAACCTCTCGTGCATGAACCTAATCATGAAGCAATGCAATAACATTTGTAATTAACAAAACTGTATCTAAACGGTATCGCATGAAAACACCATAGTATAGGTCACATCACCTAAAAGTTCCTTCTAGCTGTTGTTCGTGACTTAGTAGGTCACCGAACTCCGGAGTTACACACCTTAGGAAGCCTAAACCTAATAGCATATAAGCATATAATATAGAAACTCCCCGTCGTCCAGTTAAAAGCTTCATTCTCCATGTGAACCTGAAAAGTTGCAGCATTTTTTGAAGATTTCAAAGATGAGTAATTGAGTACTTCTAAAGACCCTGGTTAGTCAGAAGATGTACACACCATAGGATATCAACGGTTGGCTTCACCATTCCGGTAACCAGACTTGACAAGTCAGTGGTTAGCTTGTCAAGATCTTGAGTCAACCTCTGATCTGCATCCATGTTGATTCTTGACATATGTAATACCTATTATATGAATTTGAATGTTTATTGTGGAAACATATCAACCAGGTACATTTGTAAGTGGATGCTTCAGGCAATTGATCAATTCCGAATTGGCATATGAAGAAAAATGATCTCGCATAATCTTTACAGACAATCATTAAAATACATCGAAGTAAGTTATCTTGAATTAAACCTGATAAAGTAGGTCAAAAGTATCAATTGTACCAATCTGACAGACCCCACAAAATACTCATAGTATCAACCTATTATTGCATCTAACTGAATTATATTACTCCATCGCTCCCATTTCAAGGTTCCCAATTACCTAATTTAGGTGTCCCAAAATAAGGTTTTCGATCTTTTTTCAGAAACAATTCTGTGGCTGATATTGTTTCTAATTTTTCTGAACAAATCTTAACAACCGCAATCCCAGTAAAATCCCGTAGAGTGGGATCTGGAGAGGGTGTATGTATGCACACCTTACCCCTACCCGGAAAGTAGAAGGGCTGAACAAATCTTTAGCACACAAAATTATACTTTCTTTCTTACTATGGGATGGAGGGAGTATTACAGAACAAGTATGAAGTAGATAGAAGAAAGTTTGAACTACAAGTTGACTACTATACTATGTGAGATAAACAATGAATTCAAACATACTCGTATTTAGCAAACTAGCTAAATGGGACTAATGGACTATATTGCAAAACTAAGCTTTTGTTTTTAGTTACCTTGTAATAAGCATTCTTTCTTAAATAGTTCTTCAGCAAGTGTTTGGTCAGACGAATCCTCCATCCAAGAGCCAGCATAGATGTCAGATTTCTGCAAAAGATAACATTTGCATCAATACATACGGTTGCACATGGGTAAGGTTTAAGGATTCTTTACACTCGTCATTGAATATATCGATATAGTTTACTTCAATCTCTGGCATTGCGACTATAATGCCACACTTTAGCAAGTTATAAGCCAAGGTTCCAGATCTAAAAATACCTCAATGATGGTGCAACAAAAGAAGAAGCCGCGCTTTGAAGGACACTAACACCAATTAATCGAATAAATGCAACCTTATCTTGCTCCAGAACATACTTCACAGTTGTACCTAGCAAAATTAACGAATCGGGTTGGTGACAAATATAAATTAATAAAAGGAAAGAGAAAAAAAATCAAACAAAAAAGTTACCATTTAAAGAGGCAATGCGGTCAGAAATCCAAGTTCTAGACAGCACAAGTAAAGCAACTGTTAGGAGTTGTGCACCTTGTTTATCCAACATTGTTGGGACCTAAATGGTACCATAAGAAAGGTGAAAAAAGAAGCAACTGGAGAACATGGGAACGCCAGTTTGAAAAAAAAAATCATCTAAACGGAGACCAGCAAAACAGATATTTCATTTCCATCTATTCCAGTGACTTCTCTTAGAACGTGTTCACAAACGACATTATTATTTATTAATATGCAATGCAGTTCAAATGTGATTTTAAAAGGTTATAACCACAGAAAAGTTGATTTTCTAAATTAAGAGTCACAACCAATAAGGTAATGAAAATACAATGAGATGCATCAAGAGGAATAGAGGATATACTCAAACAAATATTATCTGAATATAAGTATTGTATGAGGACTACTATAACAGAGCTAATAGGCAATGGAAAGTATAAGTTTTTTCTGTAGTCAGAACTAAAAATCTACATGGTAAAAATAAAAATAAACAACAAAGAGGTGAGTGTATGTGTTCTTTCTTTTTTTTATAAGTGCTCCATAAAAACTATCATCCACTCATTTCCTTAAGCGTTGAGAGAAGTTTGGAGTATTTTATAATTGATTTCAAGAGGTTAACAACATGCTTATATAGAAACACTATGATTACATAAGGTACACTAGATTGCTAGGTGAGCTGATTACATGCTATGTGCCTGCGAAATCCATCGTTTTCTTATTTTTTGTGTTACTTTCATCAGTTAGAGCCGTAGAGTGATATTCTACATTAAAGAACTCAATGAGTATGGCCGTGCTTATTTGTCCATTGTCAAGTACTCGAGTTTGTGATACCACAACTGATAATCCAGACAGCATTATACAATTACACTCACCAGTATCTTAAACATGGCAGCAACTCTCACAGGCAATACCCTCGGAACGCTCTTAAGCTGGGGAAAGATAGGAAACTTGGAATCAACATCTGCTGAAGGAGATGTAGCTAACAACCTTGAAAAAATTGATTCGGATTGGGTATTTGAAAATGTTGTATCCTGTGGAAATATCAAATAGCCACCAAGCATAAAATCATATTAAACAAATCTGATAGTAACCAATCAAAAACTCGCAAAAGGATGTGAAGCAAATATGATCTCCAAAACCTTTTTTGTGTTTGCAAATGCACGTTGAACCGTAATTGCATCACTTTGGCGCTCGGCATCAGAAATCTTAAATTTACCTAACTCCGAATGCCTCTTATTATTGAACTCATGCTCAGTATCAGCAGTGCAATCTGCCCTGGAAAATTACAAATTACAATAGATAAATATATATGTGCAGTTTCCAACCAAGACATATTTGAACAAATGACTTCAGACTGCCTACCTCTTGTGATGTACACTCCAGCCTCCTTCACCGTCCAAGGACAAGACCAGATCATGAAATGCTACCAAAGCAGGACGATGAGAAATAGTTATACAAGATGTCCCCATCGCTCTTACTTTAGAACAAAAGCGCTCTTCCATATCTGTTGTCACAGCACTGGTACATTCATCGAGAATTGCAAATTTGGGTTTATGGTAGAAAAGCCTGGCCATTCCCAATCTCTGTTGCTCACCTAGAGATAGCTCATCGCCCCAATTTACCTCCTTTTCAGGGGGGTAACGGTCTAATAGATACTCAAGATCAACCTATAAAGAAAAAGAAATATAACCAAGGTTGCATTTAATATTGATGAGATTGAGTTGTTTTGATATATCAAGGAGACTTACATTTTTAAGCAGTTCAACCATTCCGTTATGTGTGAGAGTCTCAACCTCCTGGTCGGAAGTAAGAGGATATATTATCTGATCACGTAGAGTCCCAATAGCTGTATATGGACGTTGAGGAACATAGAATATCTCCTTATTAAGGTCAGAACCAATTCCAGGTTTTGCAATATGGCCAGAAACAAGAGGCCAAAGGCCTCCCAGAACTCGGAACAGTGAGCTTTTTCCACTACCATTTGGACCTACAAAATTAAAATGCCAAGTTCACCTCTGAAAAGTGAGACTTTGCCACTACCATTTGGGCAAACAAAATTAAATGGAAAGCTCAAACTGCAGCAGTGAACCAGCAATGTCCAACTGTCCAAGAAAAATGATAGCTTGATACAACATGCTTCTGAAACAGTGATGAAAAAATTGTTTCCACGTATTCATGGTATCGAAAATTGGTTGAGGTGATCGTCTAGAGGGCTCGAGGCACACCTCAAATCAAAGCACAAGCTTAGGGAGTTGACGCGCAAAGTAGAACCGCATGCCGATGCTCTGGCTTGAATTTTATTTTTTAAGATTTTTCAAAATCTTGTTTGGGTACCCATAGTAAAAAAAAGTTGGGAAAAAAACTAGAAACTCCAAAGCTTTGACCATATGAAGGATTGTATTACACCTATTCAAACATGCCTTTTCAAACATTGCCCAGGACAAATTTGGTAACGATGGACAGGAATATAATGCGGAGCATAAAACATGAATGCCATACATGTTTGTGAACTATTCCAAGAGCGTATTGATGAACCATGATAAAATGTAACACAAACAATCACACAATACGAGCATGCTAACACGTCTACCCTGATAAAATGCAGCAATGCCTAAGGGAGTAAGGGTCTAACGGAAACAACCCCTGTGGGATTATACTAGGTTTGTTTTTGTTGTTGTTATACTCCATACATGGTCCACCCTTTTACTAAAGGCCAAATTTGGATGAGTTACTTGTGTCCTACATACTACCTATTCAAACATATGCTAGATTTAAAAATGCTCCGGTGTACTTCCACGAAAAGATTATGAATTGTGAAAAATCCCATTTCGGTCCATTTCCATAAAACGTAATTTGGCGAGCCTGTCATAATAATCTGGAAACCCATAACAAGGCAAGGACAAGAGGAAACCACATAGGGGGAAGTGGAATATAAAAAATCCAATCATACAATATAAATGTAAGATATTGAAAATCTGAACTGAATAAAAATGCACTACCCAACATACAAACCAAATATTATGGAAATGCGTGAGCAGACACACAAAAATGTACACACAAAATGTACTACCCAACTAACCAAACTAATTTTGGTTTTGTATTAGGTTAGTTCTAAGGTAGAACTTTTAACCTAGCCATAGCTTTTGTGAGCAGACACACAAAAAAACAAAAAACAAAAAAAGGAACAATCTTAATAGCACATCTTTACGTTGTACAAACTAAGCCAAGTGATCATTTTAATTCAAAACATAATTTGCTAATGTGTAAACATGGGTTCCCATAACATAAGCCTAATGAATGTTTGTGATAACAACACCAGAACACAGTTCCAAATCTCCTTAAAAGATCATGTGTCTAGTTCTTCTTATTAGACAAGGTGACAGCTAAAATATACAGAGTATGTGCCTGACCTGTTATTAAAAGGTTGGAACCTGTTTCAACACGTAAGCTCAAATCCTCCACTAATACGTTTCCGGTTGGTGTAACGACCTTGAGGGTACCAAACACAATAAGATCACAGCAAACATATCAAGATAAGTTAAAGTTCAAATGTAACTTTATTACCTTAACGTCATCAAACTCGATGTAGTTTGCTTCACTAACATAATTCCTATCCCCATCCATTTGCATTATAGATGCATCATGGGCACCAAGTTCTCGTGATATTACCATGAGCTCATGAATACGGTCTGCATAGCCACTGAAATGTAGCAAAGCTTTAAGCATTAATATTACCACAACAAGCAATGACACAGATATTCCAAATGTAAATGAGTGTTATCTCAATAACGAAGGAAGTTCATTCACTATTAACAAAGGTCATTGATATTGCATAGCATCCCATTCCACATGATGTTGCATTGTAGCCTATAGAAAGAAAGGTCTATGTGATCAAACAGTCCACATGGGACCATTTAATCACTACGCATGCAAGTTATCTGCTTGACACCTATAAATACAAGCTAGTCCGGATGTTCTGCACTCTCTATCTTTCTTTATTTAGAAGGCTAGAACCAGATGAGCAATTTAGCCCTTCATTGTACCACACAAACTCTTGCATTCCTTAAATAATTCTCACACTCCCTGTATCCCAAAAAAAAAAATTCCTAGTTTGATTTTACTATGTTTAAGAGAAGTTTTGAAAAGTGGAAAGTGAGAAATATTGTAAGCCATATATTCCTTTCCTTAACTGAAGGGAAATGGGAGAGGAATGATTTTAATTTTGGGATAACACAAAAAGAAAAGTGTTAATTTGTTTTTGGGATGGAAGGAGTATATGACTATATTGGGGCGCCTATTAAATTAAATGGTGTTTGGTTCATTTTTTGGTCGAAATATTTGCACTAAATAGCACTAAAACTTAAGTCATTTCCCTGAATAGCACTTAAACTGTTTTATTCCCCAAAAAGCACTTAATAATGTCCAGAAAGAGGAATAATGTCCAGTGACGGCGAACATTTACTTGAATAATGACTAATGGATAATGACTAAAAGTGCTACATTGGGTAAAAAACACATATGATGCTATTTAGGAAAAGTCATTATGTTTTAGTGCTATTTAAGGAGGGTGTATTCAATTCAGATTTTAAAAGATTTTATGAGATTTTTTATAATTCATTGATTATGTAAAATCAATAGATGGTTTTAATTCTTTATCGATTTAGATAGATTTATTATCAAGATTTGTTGAGAATTCAAAATGTCCATAGATTATTTTAAATCAATAAATGATTACAAAATTAATAGAAAAAAATCCAAATAATTGTCGGGACCTAGGGTTTCCACTACCTTCAAGAGAGTAAAAATCCTCTAAATATTGCTTGACGGAAGGATTTAGACTAGCCTGTAAATCTTCTCACTGTAGATTGGCCATCATAATCATCCCCTAAGTTATGCATCAATTGATTTACATGAGATGTTGAGACATGAAGAGAAATGGAAGTAGCTATTCATTGCAGAGAATGGAAGTAGCTCACATTCCATCCCTAATCCACAGCAGTCACTATACTCTGGTGGTTGCAAAGAGCCTTTAGATGCATGTTCACAAATAATAAGAACCCTAATCCACAGCAGTGACTAGAGTCCGGTTGTGGACCGACTGACTGACTTATTCATGTTCTCAAACCACCAATCAAATGACGAAGGCTTGAAACATGAGATGCATATGGCAGCGACGACTTGGAACAGGCTGATGATTCCTTCGAAATCTTTACAGATTTGAGAAGATTTCCAACGGGGAATTCTATTTATACCGAAGGCCAAAAATCCATCAAAATCTATCCTTTATGAAAATTCATTAGAATCTATAGAATTTTTAATATCATTAGATTTAGACAGAATTTTTAAAATCTTAATTGAATACTTTGAGATTTTAAATGATTTTTTAAAATCCCAATTGGATACATCCGGATTTTAAATGATTTTTTAAAATCTCAATTGAATACCCGCTAACTTTTAAAATGCAAAAAAAATCTATCATAGTTGTGATTGAATACACCCTCCTAAGTAAATTCCCCTTTTGGGTCCCCAAACTCTCTTTGCCAAGCTAAAACTAAGAACTAAGGACTGCCCATCACGGCCAACTGGACCAAACAAATTAGCACCATCATTACCCTTAATTGCTATGAAACCAACTAAACCATCATTACCTTTAGTTGGCTAAGAGCGCTGGTAACAGTGAGGGAAAAAATTCCTCACCTCTCTCTCTCTCTCTCTACACTTTTTCTCTCATCTACATCATTTGTTTTGTGTGCAAATTTTAGTACGGAAAGTTTTCCCATCAGTGAGAAATACTGAAAAAATCCTCACAACTTTTACCTCTCCACTTTTTCTCTCATCCACTTTTTTCCAAGCAACACATGTCATGCAACGATAGGGTACATAATCACATTTGCAACCCTATTTTTTTCCTCTTTATGCACGATAAAAAAATTCCTCACGTGTAAAAAGGGAAAACCTCACCGCTGGAAAGGAATAATAATCATGCACATGAAATTTCCACACTAGTGGCATAGCTCTAAATCAAGAAACATATGCAAAAAAAGATCATTAAAATATATGTAGTACGTTATATTAGGATGACTTAATTGATACTACCTCCATCAAAGAGTATTTGTCCAATTTGACTTTTTTGAATCAAACTGGACAAACTTTGATCATCAAATAAATAAAACTTACTCCCTCCATCCCAAAAAATCTTCTCACTTTCTTTTTCACAGAGTTTAATAAAAAGTGAAATAGTTTGGTTGAAATTTATAGAGGAGAGAGAATTAGTGTGGACCACTCAATTCATACCTTTTAGAAATGAGAAGCTTTTTCGGGACATTCAAAAAAGGAAAGTGGGGCAATGGGCGTAAAATGTATATTACATATTAGTACAAAATTAATTTCATTAGATTTATCTTGCCGGAAACTATCAAAAATTTAAAGTTCATCTAGTTTGACTCGAAAAAGTCAACCGAGACAAATACGAGGGAGTATATCTTACTTTTAGCAACTGACCCCCCCCCCCGGTTGCAGGCTTCTTATTCCCGATATACGTAGAGTCATTTTGTATAATTTCTCAACACACACATAGAGGTTCTGACAATATGATTCCCACTAGATTTGCAGAGTAACATATTCAGGTATTCAGAATGAAATAGAACTATTACATGTGAACATTTTTGGCTGCCTGATTAGCAATGATCGAAACAATAGGTAGTTATTGACAGCATATTAACAGTTTAAATATATGTAGTGTGAAGTGTAACGTTGATGCCCATTCCTAAGATCAAAGATGTACCATTCCACACTTCCCACTGAGGCACGAAGCTTACTCTAAAATAAGTTTATGGTAAATTTAGCCAAGTATCCCTTGAAATGAAGATTAAAAAAGTAATCGAGCAATACCTTAGACGATTAAGTCGTCTTGTGCTAATTGCAAGTGTTCCAAGAGCCTGGAATAAAGATATTATTACACTGGTGTGATATCTCAGATTACTCAACATCTCTGCTCTTCCTAATGTGGATGCATCTGGTCTGAGGTGTCCCGAAAAAAAGGGTTCAATAATTAGGACAACAGCAACAGTAGCACCAAGATACTTGTGCAAAAAATCCTGAATCATGCCAAACCACCAATGGTCATGAAGAACAACCCTCAAATGCCGAATAAGAGTCTTAAATTTCTGTTGAATGTGATAATCTTCCCTTCTTTCCCCACCATAAAATGCAATGCTTTCTGCATGTGTCCTTAATCGTGAATGAAGCTGCCTATACTCTCCCTCTAGTTGCTGTTCTTTTGACATTAGTTTCCCGAATGCAGGGGAGAGATTTTTTATTGCAACCCCAGCCCCAAAAACGTAGGCCTGTAAGATAAAACCCAAATATAAACTTCATTATAATTGAAATTCCACATAATAAAATGACTTCATTTAAGCAAAACCGAAAAAGCATAGTGAATGAGTTTTCGAAGTGAATCTGAAAAGGAACAAATTTTGTACCAATATCCAGAACAAGTACTTTGGGCTTGCATAAGAACACAAACGCCAAGTGTACAGTAATCCATCAGTAACAGCAACCAGATCCTCCTGTATAAGGTCACTCAATTCTGAGCAGAATTTTGGTACATCACTCGCAATTCTTTGTTCGGGGTTCGTTATGCGGCCATCTACATGAGATAGTTTGTAGTATACCATATCCTGGAAATAGAGAAATAATAAACATCAATGCTTGAATGGCCACCAAACACTTTGTACAGATGATATATAGCATATGCAACTCCCTAAATGGTACAAAAATGCAATCAAGGGCATCCAGGACCAAACTGTGTCACTGTATTTATTTGCATGAATTTATAGTGTTAATTAATTATAGACTGTTGATTGACAATTGACACAATAAATTTCATGCCACCGGCCCCAAGCCCCCAACTATTTAGAGTTTATGATGATGATGAAGCATGTGCAAGGACTAACAAGATGGATAAGCTCTGATCTAGAGCATCTAGAGTAATAGAATACATAACTGGCCTAAGAAAATTATATGGCACCATATGCAGTACCATTCAATTCCATCTACCTGGAAATACTGTGCATGAATAAGCCGTGTTAATATTTTCCTAAACCGCAAACTTAAGGTTCCTGTTATGTACTTTGAAGTAGAATGCAACGCTGACTGGAGGAAACACAATAAAATGTTTTCAAAAATGAGGCGGGCGAACAATGGCACGCGTCGAAGGAATGCAGCACGAAAAAGAAGGCCTTGTACTTTTGCTAATCTATTGCTCACAGCAGTTCGGAGTACCTGAAAAACCAAACCCAGGTATTAATATAACAGCTGAGATGGCCGAAACTTACATAGAGAGCCTTGTACTTTAAAATGGTGCAAAATTTAGAAGAATGTTTAAAAATACTAGCCATAACTTTAATGACTGCTGACTGGCACCCTATCGACATACAGCAAGTAGCATAAGATTTCAAAGAAGACGTTTACGAGAACCCTAAACGATTTCAGCAAAACCTTTAAATAAGATCTTGGACATCATATAGTACTAATTGAATGAAAACAACTTTATGTATGTCAATATTATTTGCAGTACATAGCTTGTGCCAAGATGAAGAAGCTCACCACTGTGACAATCAAAGCTAAAAGGTCCCTGGTTCCCAAGTTGCCCATTCGAGATAAAAGAATTGCCACTAAAACCTTTAAGGACCGCAATCCTCCCTTTTTTGTCTTGTTTTTCTTTAAAACACTATCTCTCATTCCAGTAGATGCATTTAACTCTTCTATATCACCAACTGTGCCATTATACTGATCTACAGGGTTGTACATCTTATGGCTCCTCAGTGACCGCATGTATGCAGCAGCTGATCCACCAGCAACAATAATACCAGTTGCAAGCAAGATATGTTTTCTGTGAAATAGTGAAAGCACAGGTGATTACAGTTGCACTAGCATATGATCAAAACAAAATGCAAAGTTCATATGATCATGGAGCTTATGGGATAAGACTATGTGTTGCAATCAAATTCAGTTATGACAATAAACAATTACCAAACACTAAATTTGAGATCACACCAAGCACTTGCCACTGACAAAGTAAAATTGCTCAATAGATATTGCAAATTGCATGGATAGAACTATAGAATTGATCAGTGATTACCAGATAGATGAAATAATGAAACTTAGAAATATAAGTGTAGAAACATGGTATTCCTAGTTTTAGAAACAACACACTCGTAGTTTATCATTGTCATTAGGTCTAGGTACATCATTCCTATTAATGACTATTGTAATCATCTTAATAAAATATGAAGTCGTAACATGAAAATGAAAATCATATCAATAGAAAACTAAAAAAGGTTCGCTCGGTGCTTTGGGGCTGATTTGTTGTGCCCAAGGTGTAGAATCTATTATAATAGTTTGCTTCATGCTTTGCGAGACTGCCGCAAAGCTATAGGGACTTAATGTTGGTGGACAGTAGGTGGCAAGGTCGATATCTTTTCTTGCAATATGAATGAGTGGTTTGCTTTAAATCAAGATCATAATTGCGGCGGGAGTAGAGCTGGCAAACTGATCGGTTGTTCAGGTTCGGGTTCGGGTTCAGTTGTAAGGTGCGGAGTTCTAGGAAGTTAAGAAGACCCACGTTTGTCGGCTGCATGATACAGAGATGTGGATGCTGCGGTGGATGTGTGGAAAGTCAAGGTTAGATATGATTCAGAACGAGGTTGTCCGAGGTAAGGTGAGGAGTGGCACCAGTTGAGGATAAGTCGCGGGAAGCTAGGTTGAGGTGGTTTGGCCATGTGAGAGGGCGGAGTGTTGAGGTCAAGTGTGGACGTGTGAGAGGCACATAGTGGTGGGTAAGGGTAGGGGTAGAGGAGGACCAGGAAGAATTGGAAGGAGGTAAATACACAGACCCTTACCAAGGATATGGCCTTAGATAAAAACTTTTGGAGAGCTAGGATTAGAGTCGTTAGGTAGGCGTCTTGGATTGAGTGGTAGTTTTTTCACTTTTTGGTTTTTGCTTTCTGCTAGATATGCCTTTCTCTCATTTATATTAGTTGTCTTGGCTTTTTGTGCTTGTCTTTCCTACATTATCTATGAGTTTGTGCTATTACTTGAGTCGGGGTCTCTTGGAAACAGCCTCTCTACTTTTGGGTAGGGGTAAGGTCTGCGCACACACACCCTCCCTAAACCCTACGCTTGTGGGATTCAACTGGGTTGTTGTTGTCTAGGTGGGAGTGGTGATTTGGTGCCTTGGTTCGAGTTGTGGCTTTTTGTTGCTTAGCAACTCCTGAATGGAGAAAGAACTGCAAAATCAAAGTTTCCATCGTCCTACTGATAAGAAATTAAATGTGTAGTGTGCCCATGAAGCGAGGTAAAATTCTCTATGGTTTCCAAATCATAGGCACATTCAGATAAGTTGGCTTCCACTGACACAGATTGCATTGGTGAGTGGTGTAGCTGCACGTGGGGGAGTGAAAGTGGCATGAGGAAACCAGGGAGAATGCATGGGTGCGGAGAATGCATGGGAGTGCGATGAAGATCAGGGTGGCAAGGAATGGGGTATATAATCAGGTTGACTATTGCTTGGTGTTTGGGTTTTAAGAAAGAAAGTGATTTTGTAATCAGATTCTAGGAACATGACAGCTATTTTGCAGCAAAACAATACAGATTTGATGGCTTGCATGGGTTTAGTGACTCATATTAGGCAAATAATACGGCATGGATGGGAAGTAAAAATCGTGCATGGCTACAGAGGCCAATCGGGTTGCGGATAGAGTGGCAGGGTGGCACTTGGATGAATTGCATCACTTTTTGACATGGGATGTTCTGATTTAGTGGACGTTCATCGAGATCAATTGGGGTCACGTACTTTTTGTGCAATTGCTAGCTAGTTTCCTTCTTTCTGAGTTTTGGCCCGCGTAACCTACCAAAAAAAGTAATGTGTTGTTCAACAATCAATGTGGTACACTGGAATAATATCCGTAGCCAAATCTATTCCACAGAAACCCTACTCTTTTTCCTCCATCATTGTAGACAAGCATTGCCCTTGTCGTTACGGAACATCTCTGACCACTATTTGTCAAAACTAACAGCACCAAGCCTCTCAGAATCATGTCGCAAGTCCTCACAACTTTCCAAAGGAAAAGCACTGTCATTCACCAACACATGTGTAGCCTTCTTTCTAACGAGCTCCGGCCAAATGCCTCATGCTCTAGCGCATGAAGGCCAATTCCGGCATCTTTTTCCTTTGAATTTGTCTGTTTGTAAGCTATGCACTCCTTGTCTTAAATTTTCATCAAATTTTGATACCTTTTTTATTTTCCAGATTCATTTTAACGAAGTATGCACCCCTTGTAGAACTCAAGCCCGGCTAAAGATTGCCTCAAGTGTTAATCCTCATCAAGGAAGAAGGGAAAAAATAAAGGTGGGGCAAAGATAGAAAAAGGATGGAGATAAATGTGTGCTCAATCAAAGCTATTAAGTTAAAGTTCAAGTTAATAATGCTCGTATGAACACCAAAAACCAAATTCAAGTTAGATCAACTTTCAGTTGTTCCTGTCAAGTTCAAGTTAAGTGGCATTCAGTTCCAGTGAAGTTCAAGACTTAAAGTTTCAAGTTGAAGCTAAAAGTCCCACATTAATGCATTATGTATCAAAACTGTGCTATATTTCACTTGCTCCGCCTTCAAGGTGTTATAAGTAATCCATGTTTTGAATTCATTATGGATTTCTATTCTCAATAGGTGTAGGTCCATTACTCCCATAGTCTCATATGAACAGCACAAGTCTTAAAGACTTATCAATAAAAATGTAGTTTTGCCATCAAATAAATAGCACATAATAAAAGTACAATAAACAGCCAAAGAGAATAAAGGGTGGATACTAAGATGTTATAGCACATGGTCAGTTCAATTCATAACAATGCACTCAGCTACTCACTGAGTCACTCCTGCAAATGGTATATCCAGGTTCAGTTCTAGGTTGTTCAAGATAAGACTTCATTGGATCCAATTACTTAAAAACAAAATAAAAAATACTAGAGTGATTACAGACTACACATTTACTAGTTTATACTAGTGCATTTTATGTTGTGAATAGTGGGGGAACTAAATGAGTGCAATTATATCTACCTGACTACAAATGAAAAACTACCCAAGACCAATTATCAGTAAAAACAATTAGTCTAATGATGGCATACCTCCTTGAAGCCAAAAGGCTTCGGCCATGTTCAGTCAACTGCAAAAGCTGAAGAGAAGGCATGCCTTCTGACAAACCTGTCTACCAAAGATTCTGTCAGCCCAAACTACTTGGTTCCTGAAGAAACGGTTGCCCAGTTAAGAATTCAAGGATGATATCTGGAAGTATATTTCAAGATATTAGTCAACAAACCAATTGCCAAAGTGCAGCATTAGCAAAAAAAGAAGGGTAACGTGAGGCATGGATATCATGAGGCCAGCATCAAAATATCAAATAGAATGACAAATTAGTAATATGAAAACAATAAAACTATTTGTCACTTTCTACAATAAACAATGCCATTGTTTAAACTTTTTGAGTTATGTGGGGAAGTACAAATCTAAAGTAATAAACCATCAATTACACACAATTTTTTCACCACAGTGGCATTCCGTAATAAGAGACATTTGACAATTAGCTGCATCTGTATACAAAAAACAAATCTCATACTGCAAAGATACCCCCAAATTCCCATGCCTAATAATTCGCATCAACATATGCCAAGAGTACCTCGGAGATAAACGTATTCAACACTACCAAAGGTGAATAAATCATAACAATTTATATTTCTTTGATAATCATCTATTGTGAGCCAACTACCAAACAAAAAGAAAATTGCATGGCACACCTTCTATATTAACAACAGATATAATCAAGGTACACCAAATTAACATGCAAATCAGCAATCCCATGTTATTGAGATCAAGGTTTTGAAAGGTGGAAACTAGCCGCGAGGTGGTGGAGCAAAACGCCTTGAGGCATAAGCCTCAGTTCAATATGAAAAAAAACAATACTAAAATATGTACACAGAGGTAAAACAAAATGCATAATCCATTTTCATGTTAAATAAATGATAAAATCATAATTCCTGAATTTTACAAAAAATGATACCCTATCTTAATTCTTAAAACACAAAAAAATAGATTTATAAAAATTAAACACAGTAACATAAAACACAAATGTCTCAAACCCATCTTCAAACCTTATAAAGATTAAATATGGACAAAAGTTCACGCAAAAAAAAGTTACATCATTCTTTGAAGATTGAACCGAATTTAAAAGAGGGGGAGGGATGTTGGAAAAGAAGGAACCAAAAAAATTAAACTGAATTTAAATAAACATTTTCAAGTGTTGAAAAAAAGTTACATCATTCTTTGAAGATTGAACTGAATTCTATGGTGTACCTAAGGTCCACATGGACCTTCTCACATTTTTTTATTTTAAAAATGCTTATTTCAACACTTGAAAATGCTTATTTAGCATATATGAAGGTCCACCATGGACCTTAGGTGCATGTAATAATTTGCCAGCTATTAAATATGAAGCAATTGTCTTAGCGGCTACCACAAGAGTGAAGTTGTGCCACTGAAGTCTGAAGATGATGGAGAGAAGTACAGTTGAAGATGGAGAGACGAAAGTTGACGCTAAAGTCTTGAAAAGAAGTGTTAATTATCTAGTAGATTTATTAAGTTTTTCTTAAGAAGCTATACAGTGCATTGGCCCAAAAGAGTTTGTGTAAAAGATGCCCAATAGCTTTTTAAAAATAACCCTTATAATTGTTGAAATTCTTATTAAAAATGAGGCTTACGCTTTGGTTATGCCTTACTGCCTCGGACCGCCTCAACATTGTGAGGCGTACGCCTCAGGTATCCGTACAGGGGCTTAAGCCTCAGAGGCAAAATGCAACCACCTTATCGTCTCACCTCCTTGAGGCGGACCGCCTCGGTGGCCTTTTAAAACCATCCATGATTGAGATAGTGCACTTTAACTAATGTCAAGCTAATGAATAATTCAAAAGAAAGGTGACATCTACTTATAAATTACAAAATGTAATAAGACATGGATTACAACAAGGAAATTCGACTTGCATCCCATGACAGACTGCAAAAAAATATAGATAAGACTAAAAATCATGTAACGCCACCAAACTCCATAAAACTAGCAAAAAGAGATTTGCTATGAGACATCTCAATAACCAATTAGCTCTTTTCCAAGAATAGCTAATAAGTACTCCACAATTTCCGCAGGCACAACAAAATAACAACCTAGTATAATCCAACTTCATCAAAATCTAGGGGGTCAATATGTACGCCACCTTACCCCTTTAAAAGACACAGGGCATGTTTCTATTAGACCCCTATCGCATTGATGCATTTATTACCCAAAACTTTATAGAAAGAAAGAGCAAGGGAAGTGTATATGCCAATTTGAATTAGTCCATTTTTATCCGAAGCTAAAGCATTGCAAAAAAAATGATTTTTTTATATCAGACAAATAAACCTAATTCTATCTCTACTCGTTCAATGTGAGGCTATGTTCAAGAGATGATTTAGGTTTGTTTTTAAATGTGTGATTTCTTCAAAATAATGTGAAAGTGTGCGTGTGGCTTTGTTGTATTGTTTATTTGTTGTGTACTCCGTATAATTCTTTATTATTTTTTATTGTTTTAAAAAAAATTATCTCCATTCTTCTCAAATGACGGAGTTGGTGGTTTGGGGTTGTTTTATTTTTTATTTCCCAAAATGCCCCTGTCATTCAGAATCCACGGCCATGACTTTTGTTCTGCTGCTCTTCCCCTAGCTTGCTTGAACACAACATGCAGGAGCAGCTTGAATCTTGCTGATGAAAGGGATTGGAAGGTCATCACTTGAGTTGGGCTTTTGTTGGCTGATTTTGTAGCTGGCCATGAATTTGCGGAGTTCTTCCACAAAACAAAGCTGTAGTTCTTCGAATCTGTATTCCATTAAAGCCTCTGATTTTCTTCCACCGACAATAATATACTTCTCCACGACTCCCGTTTTACAAAAAAAAGGTGAATCGGAAGTATTTTCTTGTGTATAGTAATTAGAAATTATTTGGTGGGATGAATAATACAATTTTACATAAATGCTCCATAGATTTTTTAACGAAGGGTTCAAAATTGTTAATTATCGTTTGATAACATTAGCAAACAACCTCAAACAATACATTATTAAACAACCCCAAATCTTCTCCCAAACACAACCTTAACCAAACAAGTGTTGTTATCATGCCCCCAGAACATTGTTTCACAAATGACTAACAAACCACCAAACAAAGAATGTATTCAATCCAATTTCTAATAAAATCCAGAACTGTCTTGCTTGACTTCTTGAGAGGATAACCAAATTTTCTGTTATAGCCCAAGGTTTTTATAAACCTGGCCAGCCGTTGAACCAGTGGAACCGTGGAAGACCCTATTCAAGGTCCAACTGTTTGACAGAGATTGAACTTTTTATATATATATATATATATATATATATATATATATATATATATATATATATATATATATATATAATTTTAAAAAATTCAAATACTCAGTATTTAGTAGAGTTATTAAATGAAACTAGCATACTCCAGTATTAAAAATTATAATTGAGGCAACACATTCAGAACAACTCCATAATAGTAATTTTTAAAAGTGAAAATACTAAAACAGAGCAAATAAAATCATTAACTTCAACAACAAAAAAAACTGTAAATAAAGCTAGCTTGATTCAAAACAAAACTAATAAGTTCAGAAAGGAGTTAAAAGTAATAAAATTAACAAATGATTTAAATGAAATGCTAGGAACATACGTCAGACATTTCGAAGGAGCTAGATTTCGATTTTGTTTCCGGACGCTGAACCGGGAGATCGTTGACTGAAGAAGCCAAAATTCTCCACGGAGCAGGAATTGTCGTTGGAAGTCTCGCCAGCAGTGAACCTCGACGAAGAAGGAACAAACAGCAGAGCGGAGATTTCGTCAGCTAACCGCACGAGAACGCCGCTTGGAAAGGGATGAAGCTGAACGGAGAAAGTTCGCAGATGACGCTGCCACGGACGCCTGCAGTTATTAGCTTCCTTCCGATTGAGATTCCTAAAGACTATTTTGACAAAAACTATGGTGGTTTACGGGTTAGAATTTAAAATTAAACAAAATCAAAAGTGAAAAAACAAGTAAAACTTTTGAGTAAATTCCTAAAATGGTACTCTATATATATATATATATATATATATATATATATTCTTAAACTAGTCTTCAAAACTAACAATTTTTCGAAATGGTGTTCGCTAATTGAGAATAATGCTCAGTTCAGTCCTTCTTAACTAACGCCAGTAAAATTGTGTTAAAAGACATTAAACTTTATACGTATTACTTTTTCAAAATGGTACTTTCTAACTAAGTATTTTCTCAAATTGATCCATTTTCAAAATAAGCATCTATTAATTATGAAAAAATATTTTAAACTTGATAAGATAATATAATACTAAAAACTATAAATATAATTTTATAAATTTGAAAGTGATGTTTTAAATTATTTATAATTATTTAAAAATATATTATGTAAACAAAATATATAATAAACGTTAAAGAAATCACCCTTAATAGTAGTAAAACATAGAGAAAGGGCTCCTGTTTTGGTACTTCCTTTATATTTTAGGTTGCGTTCTGTCATTTGATCTGATTTTTTGAAGTTCTAATCTGATTTGGTCGGATCTGATATAATTAGATCTGATGCGATTGGATCTGATCTAATCTAGTCAAATTTGATCTGATTGGATTTGATATAATTTCAATTAAAATTATTATAATAATAATTATAAAAATAGTAATAATAATTAAAAAATTGTGATAAAATTTGTAACGCCCTAAAATATAGCCTAAAATAAATTGAAATAAATTATTATTGGGCTTCGGGCCAATGTCAAATATGTTTTGATATCCAATATCAAAATCTGAATAAGTCTCATAGAGACAAATACAACATGTTGATTTATTATGTGATCTTGATTGGGAACCTGAGTACAGACCCAAATTAAGAATAAATGAAGAAATTGTTTATAATGTGAACTTTGAAATGATTTATTGAAATAAATCATGGAAATAAATAATATGAACTAAATGAGAGAACCTTTTTGAATAAAAGTCAATTGAACCAATTTTGACTCTGTCAAAGTCAACCACCCAAAAATATGATGTCGAAAAAAGTATTACAAATAAATATAAAAGTTATATCGTTGGATAGAGTTCGACTGTCTGGTCGCAACGATGCAAACAGAATTCAATTGGGAGAAAGTTGGACCAAAAAGTGTTCCCCGACTGAGACCAAATTAGTCCCAATCAGGGACTTGCGTTTGGAATCGCAGGAATCGGCCGTCCTCTCCACTGAGACGCCAAAACAGGAGAATTGGTGTCATCCTCCATGTCTCCTTCTCCATTCACCTCACTATATAAACCCTCCATTTCTTCACCATTCTTCATCAAATTCATTCTGAGAGATAGCCTTGAGTGTGGAGAACGCAGTGGTGCTGTCAATTTGGTGTGAGGTCGCCGGAGTTGAGAGCTATCGTCACCGGAAGTTTCGCCGGAAAATATTCAAAACCTTCATTTACCTTCGAGGTAAGCCCGTAGATATATCTAGTGACTAGAATGTTCCTATAGATCGTTTCTACGTTCATAAACGGTCGTTTGGTTGAGCTTTGTGTTTGACATGCTTGAAGAACCAAGAATCATAAACCATAAAATTGATGTTAAAACTATGAATTAATGATGCCAAAATGATCTATGAACCTTGGAGAACATCTTTATATAGTTTCGTTGAAGTTCGATAACTAAAAACGGTATTTCCGAAATTAGACCCGAACGAAGAAGAAGATAAACAGTGGCTGAAACACCACTGTCTCGATCCACCTCTAGGAGTGATTTTTCATAGTATTGATCGATCCAGAGGGCTAGATCGATCCCCCAAATTTCTGATCCAAAAATTTGTCTGAAAATGTTATTTTTTTAGCTCTAAAATCCTACTTTCTCCGTCCCGGAGTATTCGTCCAGTTTTGACTTTTGGAACTGTTCATGTAAGCACTTTGACTCATCAAATTCTCTCAATGTGTAAGCCTAAATATAGTCATGTGTGATCTTGTTTGATTTGTCTTAACATATAGATTATTAATATATAATTTCTATAATTTTTTAATATACAAATTACAAGATAAAATGGATTAAATAAGTGTATTGGATGGTGTGTAAAAATGAAAGTGGACAAATACTCTAGGACGGAGGTAGTATTTTTGATACCAATTGATTATGATCATTATAAAAATAATTGTTCACATTAAAAGTAATATTTTTAACAAATAAAATGTTATGTGATGCATGACGGTAAGTTAGGGTGTTAACAACCGAAGCTAGGCCGCTAATTGTTATTGAATATTATGTTTGACTAATGATTATGGTAATGATTATTAATTGATGATTATGATGAATAAATCTTAATAAATATTCTGATTAAAAATGATAATTGTGAATGATCAAATCATAATGAATATATTGATGAATGTGAAAATAATATATTGTTAAGGGTATCTAGAAAACCTCTAAGATATACCCATATTAATGTCGATTTGAAAGGTATCTAGAAGACCTCTAAGATATACCTACTTAAGTTAGGCCTTGCGGGTATGAACCCCGGTGGCTAGGGTTAAAACGTACGTACGGGATCCAAGAACCAAACTTGAGTACCTACTCGTTTGGGGGTACCACCCACCCAACAGTGAACACTACGCTGTTGGTTTTTGGTTGGCCTTAAGTGAAGGTAAGTTTAAGATTTTCAAAACCCTTTTATCTTAAACTAGGCCTAGCTTAAGGATTATTTAGGAATATTTTATACTGGAATATAGTTTAATTATTTAAACTAGAATTCGTGTAAGGGTTGACAAATATTAAAGTGATTGGTCTTAGACTAAGAATAGTTTAAGGATATTGTTGAATGTTGAATATTGAATATGAATAAATATTCAATGATGAATATTGAATTGAATATTGTAATTATTATGAATGACTGATGAACATTGAATGTGAATATAAATGTTGAATAATGAATAATTTTTAATAATTATTGATTATCTGAACTGAATATTATGTGCATGATATCAAATATTTTGATTATGAATTTAGATTCAGTTTATATGGATGTTCGATGCATTAGATATGCTTACTCAGCTTCAACGCTGAGCGTGTAGTATGTTTTATTTGCTACACGCAGGTTATTAGAAAAATGAAGTAACGTGGTCCTGGAGGCAGACGGAGGCGAGATTGTCGGAATGGATGTGATGGTTTTGAATTAAAGAACAGAATTAAAGAACAGAATAAATTATGTTGTAATTATGATTTGGTAAAGCTTTTGCAATATTGAAAACTTTGTACTGTTTATATTATGAAAAATATTATTATGATAAATAAAAGTGTTTGAAATGTTTTAAATTTTTACGATTTCCAAGTTAATACTTTAGTCCGAAAAAGGCTGCAGACCTAGACGGATTAGGGTGTTACAAAATTTCAGGGGTATTAATTTTTTTCCATTAAATTGACTCTAAAATTGAATAATTTAAATAAAAAATCATTTAAGATTTAGCATTCAAAGAAAGAGCTCAAGTAATATTGCAAATTACTATATTAATTTCATTATTTATGGATGGAAAAAATAATACGGAGTACTTCTTTATTATATATCACATGCCTTATTTATCATTAATACACACGCTTTTAAATGCATGCACATTTTTAGTAACTTTAATTTGGAAAATGTATTTTTTTAACCTTTTCTTGCCATTTAGAATATGAAATTTGAGTAGTACTATATGGTCTGTTTCATTTAGATTAAAGACCAATTGGACATATATATATTCTTATCATAACTAAGTTATATTATACTCCGTATAATAGAGAACAATTATATCACCTCCTCAATATAATTATAGTCCATTCAATATAATTATATTCTATAGAAGCTGATTTAAAAAAAATCAGTCACAAATAAAAATTTAAGTTTTAACACAATTATAGTCCATTCACCGCTTATTTTATAAATAATTTAGTGTTATTTTTAAAATGTTTTATATGTTTTAATTTTACATCAATATATATATTTTGCAATAAATAGAATCCAAACTAACTTAATTATAACATATTATAAACAAATAGCCGCATGACATTGATTTAGAGGTAAAAAATGTATCTTATTAATTAATTGAAAGTTTTTTTTGTGGTATATTATGTGTTAAAAAATAACAAATTTCATAATAGGTGAAGAAAATATTTATTTAATAGGTGTCAATATTTAAATAAATTTAATCAAACTAACTTCATTTTTAGGTATCATAAACGTATTCATTATATTTCGTATATTATTTATTTATGAATAGAATGTTTTGTTTATTATTTAAAAAAATCAATTTTAGTCTAGTCACGTATTGATTTTAAATATTTTTAATCTAGTTATTGAAATAAATTGTTTGTTTTTAATTTTACATTGTTATTGAAATAAATTGAACCAAAAATAATTTCATTTTAAAATATTATAAACTAATACTTGTATGGAAATTATTTAAATATGAAAAAATCATCTTATTTATTAATCAAATTTTTTTTTTATAAATGAAGCGAGTAAAAAATACTATATTGTATTTGAATGAGTATTTTCATAAAAATGAATGTTTCTCTTTAAAAATTAAACTTATTCAAAGATTTTATACCAAAAAATTGAATTCACATTTTCTATATCTTAAATTAAGTGATACAATAAGTGTCATAAAAATATAAAATTTATTTATAGGTAAAGGAAGTATTTTATTTACTAGGTGTCAATATTTAAATAAATACAATCAAAGGAATATCATGTAAATGTATAACGAATAAATATAAAATTTATTTATGGGTGAGGAGTGTATTTTATTTATTAGTATAATTTTTTTATGTAAATTTTATGATTTAACGAATTTGAGACAGACATTAAAAATATGTGTACGTAGAGTCCTGAAAAAATGATGTTTTTTTAAAAGTAATAATTTACACCGAAAATAATTTTAATTCTAAAT